TGTTCCTGCCTACTTTCTGTATTCGACTGAAGAAGCCTACTGTGTAGGCGAAACGTTTCGGAATAAAGTTGTCTAACTGTTGCATATGTGTCTTACCTAACAACCTGTCGGTATTGTATACCATTTTGATGGTTCTATTTTGTTTGAAATAGACAAATGCAGTCATTGTTTTGTCTGTACAACTGCCTGTACAACTTGTATATTTTTTTTGTAAGTCAATAAAACTGTCTCCCTTCAAGTTTTGATCACCGTGCGCGAGTCATGATGTAGGCTACCCACCATCTGTCTCCACTTTGTATTCCTAGGTACCAATTCTCGTGTAACTGGTCGAAAATGCTAAAAATGTAGACAAGGAAGAAATATGGGTATAAAGACAATATGCAGAGGAAACTTACACTGGGATTACATTTTTTTCTCAATTTAGAGCTTAATCTAAGAAAACTGTCCCGATTAAATCTATCATAACTAGTAAATGTGCAAATAAAGGCTTGTTTTTGTATGAGTTTGTACTACCACACACATATACGTCTAACAATATACAACAACTTCATTAAGGCCTAATAATGTTGTATAGAAAATTTGATTCCATATAACTCGCCGAAAAAAATCATTAATCCTTTAGTAGTCTATAAAATTCAAATCACAGAAGTCTAAAAGTCCCTGAGCGTAAGAGCATAAAACATAAGTAACAAACTACAGTGGTAGGCTGTGTGTACTTTAAGTACTTTAATTAAATGTTTAACTTTAAAATCAACGACTGCTGGTTTTGTTTCCTGCAACACTGTTTTACAGACGTCTATTAAACATTCAAAATGCAAAACGATTCACTGACAATGCTAAAGAACACGAAACATAAGACAAACAGAAGTTGCAGAATAAGCTTTAACCGAGATGTAATTTCGCTCTGAATATAGCTTTATCATGTTCTTCAGAGTGAAAATGTTGGCTCAGTAATGTGTTTTGCAACTTGTGTGTTTGTCTTCGCAATTGTCAGCAATACGACATCCTATCTATGAAATAAATCAGCAAACGTTGCACAATGCATTAAGAGGAGAGGGGTTGAGGCTTCGATGGAGACACACACACAGTAGGACCTTGGGGTTTTCTAGTCCGTAATTACTGGATAACATGCCACGTAGCAGGCAACTGAACAGAAGACAGAGGCATATTGCAGAATAAGCTTTAAGGTGCAACGTTTAGCTCTGTGGAGTGTGTTATCAGGTTATCTACACAGAAAAGCTTTTTACCAATATAGGATGATTCAGTAACATGTGACAGCCCATTATCTGTCTTACTGCTGGTGGAAATAACATCAGGAGACAGGAGCTGCTGGATAAGTACAGGTCAGCAATAGAAGTTGTCAGGTCTAAGGGAGGGATCCCAATCATATGTAGCATCTTGCCTAGAAGGGGAGTGGGCAATGAATGGATGTCTAGGGCAATTGGTATAAATTGCTGGCTAGACAGATACTGCAAGGAACTTGCAATCCCATTCATTGATAACTGGGACAAATTCTATAGCAAGCATGATATGTATGCAATGGGCTGGAGCTGGAGTGGTTGCATTAGCCAATTCGAGTGAACGTGTCATTGATGACTTGTCTAGGAATTTAAACTGATAGATTATAGAGGTATGGGTGTTTCTGGAAAACAATAAGGTTGCAGCATTCTGGTTGAAAACAGCAGATATTAGCAGGATACCTCAGGGATATGTTTAAAAGACAATATTCAAAATAAAGTTGCAAGTAAAGGCAAAGCAATTGCTCGATAAACAAAGAGAGAGAGAGAGAGAGAGAGAGAGAGAGAGAGAGAGAGAGAGAGAAGAGAGAGAGAGAGAGAGAGAGAGATGGCAACGAGTGACTAGCTCCCTTAAGGTTTACCATACAAATAACAAAAGTCTAAGAAATAAGATAAATGAGCTAAGATTACTTGCAAGTGCAGGTACTATAGATATTATTGCTATAACAAAGACGTGGTTCAACTTGAAAGATAGATAAATACCTTCTGAATGCAACATACAGAGTTATAAACTATTCCACACTGATAGGGTCAACAGGAAGGGTGGTGGAGTGGCGATGTACGTCAGAGATAATTTAAATTGTTGTGTTAGACAAGATGTAAGATTAGAAACATCGGACACAGAATCTGTTTGGCTACAGCTTCTCGAAGGTCGTGAAAAATTAATTTTGGGTGTGATTTATAGGCCCCCAAACCTTGATAGGGAGTGTAGTAAGCTGCTATGGGACGAAATTCATAATGCATCTAGATATGAAAATGTGTTATTGGGAGATTTTAACTTTAGACAAATTGATTGAAACAATGTGACAGGAAATCTTGAGTCAAGTGACTTTCTTGATACGGTTCAGGGCTGCTTTATAAAACAGTTTGTGACAGAACCAACTAGAGGAAACAACCTTCTTGATTTGGTTCTTGCCAACAAAGAATCACTAGTTAATAATCTTGAGGTTAATGATGAGCTAGGGGAAAGCGATTACAAATCACTTAGTTTCAATATATCACGGAGTTACCCGGATAACTGCAATCAAGTCGCTGTCCCATATTTCCGCTTGGCCAACTTCATGGGACTGAAAAATTGCCTGGGTGGGCTAAATTGGGATGACCTTACTATGGATCAGGTAGGTAGGGTTAGTTACCAATATGACGTATTTCAGAGCATAGTGCTAGCTGCCCAGGCGACTTTTGTCCCGAGTAGGGAAATTAGGTCTAACAAAAATGATCCCAAATAGATAAACAATAGATTAAAACATCTAATTGTTCAAAAGAGAGGCATATATAGGTGAATCAAAAGAGAGGAAAGGCTGTTAAGAAATCAATATATTCAATTAGAGAGAAATAAAAAAAAAGGAATACGATAAGCAAAATGGGATTATGAGGCTAAAGTCGCAAGGGATTCGAAAACTAACCCAAAAGGGTTCTTTCAGGTACACAGAAGTAAGATTAGGGACAAGATAAGCCCACTTAAGAGTAACTCAGGTCAGATCACTGACAGTGATAAGGAAATGTTTGAACTTTTCAATTCTTACTTCCTCTCAGTTTTTACTCAGGAAGATACTAGCGAAATTCCAGAAATAATAAATTATGTAGAACAGGACGATAATAAACTATGCACGATTAAGGTAACTAGTGACCTCGGACAAATAAAGAAATTAAAACCTAACAAATCCCAGGCTCTGATGAACTGTTTGCAAGGGTTTTATAGGAACCTAAAGAGGAACTTAGCTTACCTTTGGCTAATCTTTTCAATATATCACTACAAACTGGCATAGTGCCAGACAAGTGGAAAATGGCAAATGTAACACCTATTTACAAGGCAGGTGACAGATCCTTAGCTGCGAACTATAGACCAATAAGCCTTACCTCCATAGTGGGAAAATTTGTGGAGTCAATAATTGCCGAAGCAATTCGTAGCCATCTTGACAGGCACAGATTGATTAATGAATCTCAACACGGTTTTACAAAGGGGCGTTCCTCTCTTATAAATTTATTAACTTTCTTCACTAAAGTATTTGAGGAGGTAGATCATGGAATTGAATATGATATTGTGTGTATGGACTTCAGTAAGGCTCTCGATAGAGTTCCACATCAGAGGCTGTTGAGAAAACTTAAAGGCACACGGAATAGGAAGAGAAATTTTTTTATGGGTAGAGGCGTGGTTGACAAGTAGGCAGCAGAGAGTTTCCATAAATGGGGAGAAATCAGAATGGGGGCACGTCACATGCGGTGTTCCACAGGGGTCAGTGTTGGGCCCCTTGTTGTTCACAATTTACATAAACGATATAGATGAGGGAATAAATAGCAACATAAGCAAATTTGCTGATGACACCAAAATAAGCCGTCCAGTTCATTCTAATGAGTACATTAGAGCACTCCAGGATGATCTGAATAGACTGATGCAGTGGTTGGAGAAGTGGCAGATGCAGTTTAATATAGACAAATGTAAAATTCTCAATGGACAGGAAAATAGCCATGCCACAAACTAAATAATGTAAATCATAATATTACGGATTGCAAAAAGGATTTAGGAGTTCTGGCTAAGAGTAATCTGAAACCAAAACAATAGTGCATAAGTGTTCGCAATAAAGCTAACAGAATCCTTGGCCTCATGTTCAACTTTATATATCCTTGGTTAGGCCTCATTTAGATTATGCTGCGTAGTTTTGGGGTCCCCGTATTACAGAATGGATTTAAATGCACTGGAGAACGTACGAAGGAGGATGACAAAGTTGATCCCATGTAACAGAAATCTTCCTTATGAGGATAGACTGAGGGCCCTGAACCTGCAATCTCTAGAAAGGCGTAGAATTAGGGAGGATATGACTGAGGTATATAAGTGGAAAACAGGAATTAATAAAGAGGATGTAAATAGCATGCTAAAAATATCTAGCATAGGACTCGCAGCAATGGTTTTAAATTAGAAAAATTCAGATTCAGGAAGGATATAGGAAAGCACTGGTTTGGTAATAGAGTTGTGGATGAGTGGAACAAACTTCCGAGTACCGTCTTAGAAACTAAGACGTTGTGTAGTTTTAAAAATATGTTGGATAAATACATGAGTAGGTGTGGGTGGGTGTGAGTTGGACCTGACTAGCTTGTGCTACTAGGTCGGATGCCATGCTCCTCCCTTAACTGAATGTGACTGTCCTGACTAGGTCAAGGCATTGGCTTAAGCCGGTGAGAGAATTGGACCTGCCTCGCATGGGCTATCAGGTCTGTTGCAGTGTTCCTTCTTTCTTATGTTTCTCAGGTATTCCTTTATGTTGGTCTAGATATCTTTAGTACTCTTTTGACAAAGTTTCTATTTCTTTTGATTCTCGGGTTTCAATCTTTTCTTCCTTGATCCTGAAATGCAAATATTTACTTCCTTCTTCCCCCACTCACCCTTGAAGTGTCCAAATCTAATACCAATAATATACTAAATCTCCAACCTAATCAACTACTGGGCTCTGAGGTGGCAATCCTCCCTTTCGGAACATCACTCACCTTGGTGGTGCTCTTCTTGCACTTGTCGGAGTTGGCGAATATGTTAAGAGCCGTTGATCCCGGTGGTAAGGGACACTGGTCGATGTCGACGCGTCGGAGATCGATGTCGATGCCACTAGTGCCCCTGAAAGAAGTAGACAGACAAGCATGAAGAGTGGTAGACTGTGCAAAATATCAGAGGGTAAATATACTGTATAACATAAGGTGTAGACACACAAGCATATAGGATAAACATTTATTCGGACAAGGTTTCAGTCTAAGTAGAAGGTAATGATATACTGATACCGACAATATTGACGAAAGGACACAGATGCATACATACACTTGCATCATCATTATTGGATACGTTTCGGTGTTGAAGTAACCAAGACATAATAAGAGGTCCTAAGTGTATTTACACTTGTGTCCTCTCATTTAGATCGACACATTCTCCGAGAAATGTTTTTTTTCCTGCAAACTTGTGCTTGACTACACGCCTGTTTCTCAAGCCAACGGCAAAATGGCGACAATAATATTAGAAAATGCTAAAAAATGTTTTGCTGGAGCTGAAGATATTACCAATTACGCAGATGAATATTTTTTTATTAATGGGTATCCCCAAGAGGATGCCTAATTAAGTTTTTTCTCTTTCCTCCAACTCGAGAATGCTCCATTCAATCGGCGTCAAATTTCCAACACTTGCTGTGACAACGACGACCGAATTCTTGGAAAAATTCACATGTTCACGTGCCCCGTGACCAAGGTTGAACACATTCCCAACTTCATGGAATGGTTCAGATAACTTACAAAATCCACAGTGGCAGAGTCAAACATTCATAAAAAAAAGGTGCTAGAAAATGCGACGACGGTATAGAGTAAAATTTAAACATGTGGTATGGTTTATGTAGCTTCAGATTTGACTCTTGTTGACCAGTGTGAAATTTTATCTAATACAAGTCACGTTAATTTACATTTACCTCTTCTTAATGTCTTCATTATTTAATGGCTGATGTATTTTAGGGCCAGAATAGTACCCATTAGGTTTCGTTTGCGTGTAGGCAAATTTACTGAGGCTAGACAGTAAATAAACCGAAATGGTTGGAGTCTGTGCCATAATTGGAGAATGATTCATCTGATCGACTTCAACTTTACACCACTGGTATGGTTTTTTGAACACAAGGTTCACGCTGCCATTAGGTGGCATAAGTAACACTTTGTCAATTTTACTAAAGTCATATATGCTCTTTACTCAAAAACTTCAGAATGCTGCTTATGATTGGCTTCAAAATATTACTAACTATGAAGGATGATACTCTATAAGTTTAGTCTAAATAGGTACAAATTTCATAATTTACTGAAAGTTAAAAATCGTTGGAATCAGATCAATTACTGGAGAATGAATTCTCCGATCTGCTTCAAACTTTTACCATTGGTGGGCTTTATCAACACAGCTTGTTACTCAGTTATGCATAATTCAGCTTGCCAGTTATATTTAGCAAATAATTTCCCCGTGTAATAAATGAGTGACTTAATAGGAAGTATTTTTGTATTCATTTTAGGCTGTTGTGAACCATTTTGCCGTTTTTTAAATTTTATCAAACTGGATTTAAAAAAAATGTAAAAATAATTTTCTTAGAGGATTATAGAGAATTTTAAACAATGTAAATGAGAAAAGTGAACCAGAAAAAAAAAAGTAAAAAAAAAAAAGGAGTTTTTTTTAATTAATGAGGGGAGACTATACTATTTTTTAGAACATTTTCATTTGCTTTTCTCAGAATTTCGTTTATTACTCGAGAAAGCCTTGATATAGATTTTTATGGATTTTTTCACATGAATTTTTAAAAATGTAAAATATTAAAAAAAACATAGAAAAATGTGCTAAAACGTTATTTTATTACGTATCTCAGTGATTCAGAGATGTTCGAATGTTTTGTGCGCAGGTGCTTGATGTGTTGGGGAAGATGTTCGTGTCGAGGCCCCGTGGCTAGCGTCAGTGTTCATATACCTATCACTCGGGACCTGATAACCACTCGCCTAAATACAAGACTTGAGAAATATCAACATACCGAGTGACCATCACGATGGCCAGAGCTCTCAGTTGAAACCTCGGTTTTCGTATGACCTGAATATAGCAATGTGTGTTCGAACTATGCAAGATGGAGAAAGTTCTGCGAGGAGGAGCTGGAGAAGGTTCTGCGTAGAGCAGCTGGAGAGGTTCTGCGTGAAGGAGCTGGAGAAGGTTCTGCGTAGAGCAGCTGGAGATGGTTCTGCGTAGAGCAGCTGGAGAGGTTCTGCGTGGAGCAGCTGGAGAAGGTTCTGAGTAGAGCAGCTGGAGAGGTTCTGCGTGGAGGAGCTGGAGAAGGTTCTGCGTAGAGCAGCTGGAGAAGGTTATGCGTAGAGCAGCTGGAGAAGGTTATGAGTGGAGCAGCTGGAGAAGGTTATGCGTGGAGCAGCTGGAGAGGTTCTGCGTAGAGCAACTGGAGAGGTTCTGCGTGGAGGAGCTGGAGAAGGTTCTGCGTAGAGCAGCTGGAGAAGGTTCTGCGTAGAGCAGCTGGAGAGGTTCTGCGTGGAGGAGCTGGAGAAGGTTCTGCGTGGAGGAGCTGGAGAAGGTTCTGCGTAGAGCAGCTGGAGAGGTTCTGCGTGTAGGAGCTGGAGAAAGTTCTGCGTGAAGCAGCTGGAGAAGTTCTTCACGGAGGAGCTGGAGAGTTTCTAAATGGAGGACCTGGAGAGGTTCTAAATGGACGATCTGGAGAGGCTCTAAATGGACGATCTGGAGAGGCTCTAAATGGACGATCTGGAGAGGTTCTAAATGGACGATCTGGAGAGGTTCTAAATGGACGATCTGGAGAGGCTCTAAATGGACGACCTGGAGAGGTTCTAAATGGACGACCTGGAGAGGTTCTAAATGGACGACCTGGAGAGGTTCTAAATGGACGACCTGGAGAGGTTCTAAATGGACGACCTGGAGAGGTTCTAAATGGAGGAGCTATCTAATATACTTCACGTAAAGTTCATTAATCCATTACAATCTTTCATCAAGTGCCTCAAGTGTCTGAGCTGAGGTAGCATCCTATAGTGTGCTGGGGGGAGTAGTCACTCAGGCAGTGGTATCTAACAACACTGTATATATCCCTGGTGGAAAGACAGGTTGCAAGCCACGTTTTAATTGGAACAATGCGCCGACTTTATAAAGCTCTACGCATTCTCAATAAATCTTATTCAAGAATCTTTCTTCACTATTGCCAGTTGTACACCATATGGATCCAATATTTTATTTTTAACTTTTATGGCTTATGTAATCTTTTCTTGCAATATGGTTATTCGTACAAATCATTGTGTTCGCCCGAGTGCTTCGCTTGAAAAAAAATCAGGATGTGGAGCTGCGTCTTCTGGTTCAATAACCCAGTCAATCGTCAAAGAAATACAATTAAGTTCTGAGGCTACTGTATTCGACTGTTACGATAGCAGAACAAAAATGCTAAACAATTACGAAAATTAGTAACGAAATCAGAAACACACCATTGCTGCTATTTAATTAGAGATGTATTTGACATTCGGGTTTTATCGCATACGTAAAATTAGACAGTACCAAATTAAATTAGTAAATACAATTAAATTAAATTAGTAAATACAAGACTCGATTTCGTTAAATTAGCAAATACTTGCATGAACCTTGTGAAATAAATAACAGCGTGAACCTCATTGCACAGGCGCCTGTGATCCAAATGTAACACAACCAGTGCCCGAGTCCATCACTGGTCCCCTAATATAATGTTTTTTAGCAAGAGAAATATCCTAATTTACAATTTTAAAGAAATCTAGACCTCCGGTCTAATCACAATCCTTAAAAGCCGTGCCCACTGTTGTCTTAGACTATACAGTCACAATCCTAGACTTTACAGCCACCGTATCCTGGAATCTAAAATGGCTGTCCTGGAACCTACAGTACCCAACCCTGGAACCTATAATCATCTAATCCTGATACCTTCAGTCATCTTATCTCGGCACCTACATTCACATAATCCTGGTACCTAAAGTCACATTCCTAGTACCTACTGTTACAGTCCTAAAACGTACATTCATTGAATCCTGAACATTATCAAACAGTTTCATCCTCTATACATCTAAATTATTTAAACCTGAGAATCTACACACATAATCTTTACTTTCTACTGGAATATTTAATTGTCTGTTCCTTCGAGTCCTGGAACACTCTTTAAATTTTGGATCAAACATTATTCTGGAATATTATCTAAGCCTGGGACTCAGCATGCACTTATCGCAAGAGAAAAAAAGTGCTAGAAACGAAAGTAAATCAAACTTTTTTAATAATCTCTCCAAAATCCAAAAATTGGAGAGATTTAACTGAGATTGATCTGCTAAGTCAGTTAACCCGGGAGCTGCTGGTAATTATTTGATGATCAGAGAGACGAGGGTGAGAGAGACGAGGGGGGAGGGAAGGAGATACGAGGGGGAGGGAGGGTGAGAGAGACGAGGGGGGAAGGAAGGGCGAGAGAGACGAGGGTAAGAGATAGAGACAGATAAAGAGAGGCGGAGGCAAAGAGAGAGCCCACTAGCCTGGATAGATCTGTTATTCCGTCAGAGCCTTCAGCATCGGCGAGATATGGGCGGTCTTACTGCTATATACATGGTTATTGACGTCACATTACCACACTTGCCTCCACTTCTCGAACAGTGAGAGAATGACTTTCATGACTCACGAAATCGTAATGACACGATTGCAAACAAAGCATACCATGGGCGGGGAGTTTTGAGACTCTCTGATCGCGGGTTTTATCACCGCCCGTGGTATGGAATGACTTCCATGCCACAAGACGGACAGCAAACTCTCTGGCTGTGCCTTTCTCAAGGACATCACTTTATTTGAGATCATTCATGCCTAGAATCACTGGAGTCTGGAACATGTCCGTACAGCATAATAACTTCAATTATATAAAGTCAGTTGACCAAATGAAATTCGCTGACCCACAGATGACTCCAACGTCACTTTTTCTTATTTGTACGTTCATAACAATGAAAACGTTTTCAAATAAGCTGAGGTGTGTAACAGCTCTTAGCTTGTAAATACAGGTAGGAACTTTTAACCTAACTAGAAACGACAGAGAGAGAGAGAGCGAGAGTCAAAAGGGAAGTTAAACAAGGTAAAATAATATATAGACGATGAAGTGTGTGCAACGGGCAAAGCAAAAATTTTTTAAATTTTATAGTGCGCTGAGACCACAGATAGTTAGAAAACATACAAGGGAAGAAATATATACATAGTCAAACAAACACGAAAAAGAGGAAACAAGAACAAATTGCATTATAACACACACACACACACACACACACACACACACACACACACACACACACACACACACACACACACATGATAACATATAAAACACAGCAAGGATTTGACTAGGTGGACAAAGACAGGATGTTCCAGAGATGGGAGACAGAAATAAAGGGTCACAATTGGAAGCTGAAGACTCCGACGAGTCAAAGGGATGTTAGGAAGTATTTCTTATGTCAGAGTTGTCAGGAAGTGCAATAGCCTAGAAAGTGACGTAGTGAGGGCAGGAACCATACATAGTTTTAAGACGAGGTTTGATAAAGCTCATGGAGCAGGGAGAGAGAGAGAGAGAGAGGACCTAGTAGCGATCAGTGATGAGGCGGGGTTAGGAGCTATGAATCGACCCCTGCAGTCACAAATAGATGAATACACACTCAGAAGTGTCCCTGTTTACAGATTATTTGAAGTTAATGAGGAGAATTAAATCAGAGGATCAGACAGGACTACAAAGGGACCTGGACAGGCTGCAAGCCTCGTCCAGCTACTGGCTCCTGGAATTTAACCCAGACAAATGCAGAGTCATGAAGCTCGGAGAAGGGCAAAGAAGACCACAGAGTACAGGCTAAGGGGCCAAAGACTGCAAACTTCACTCAAGGAAAAGGATCTTGGGATGGGTATAATACCGAGCACATCTGAGGCGCACATCAACCAGATAACGGCTGCAGCATATGGGTGCCTGGCAAACCTATGAATAGCGTTCCAATACCTCAGGAGTCGCTCAAGACTCTGTACACCGAGTACTTCAGGCCTATACTGGAGCATGCAGCACCAATTTGGAACCCACACCTTGTCAAGCACGTCAAGAAATTAGAGAAAGTGCAAAGGTTTGCAACAAGACTAGTCCTGGAGGTAAGGGAAATGTCCTACGAAGAAAGGTTAAGGGAAATCGACCTGACGACACTGGAGGACAAGAGGGATAGGGATGACAGTGACAAATAAAATACTGCTAGGAATTGAAAAGGTGGACAAAGACAGGAGGTTCCATAGATGGGACGCAGTTGGGAGTTAAAGACTCAGATAAGTCACAGGGATGTTATGAAGTATTTCTTCAGTCACAGAGTTGTCAGGAAGTGGAATAGTCTGGAAAGTGATGTAGTGGAGGCAAGATCCATACATAGATTTAAGATGAGGTAAGTTAAAGCTTATGGAGCAGGAAGAGAGAGAACCTAGTGACCAGTAAAAAGACGGGGCCAGGAGCTATGGATCGACCCCTGTAACCACAATTAGGTATCTACACAGACGGCTAACCATCACGTTACGTGCCCGCAGTAGCAAATGCTTGTTAATGATACATTCAGTTTAATGCAACAACTACCTGGTCATTAAAGTCACGCAAGTGGATTTAATTAACCAATGATTTTTAATTAATTGATAATCAGCTTGTACCGACTAATTTACATCACAGCCGTTCTCCAGGACACAACTGTCCCGTTAATTATGGTTAATTATAGCTAATTATACCACAATCATTATGCACTGCAAGAATGACAATTACGAAATCTAAAAGCGGAATACCTTAATTAAAGGCTGCGTTATCATACCTTAACTGGCATTCCTGGCATTATTATACCTGGAATTATCATACCATTATTAGCATAGCTGACATAATCACACCTGTAACGGTATATTCCTATTATGCTCAAGAGGGATTGCTAAATCCGTAAGGGTGATACGACTGGAGGAATGGGAAGCAATCAGGTACGATCGCAATCAGGCTC